TTCAAATTTGAGCTGAGAGCCGTGATTCTTAAAGGGCTGCAACAGTAACTGGAGCTGAAATCTGAAGCAAGAAAATTCCTTTGCTGGGCACTGACGGACACTGCTGTGTTTCCCTTGGCCTTTGTTGGAAGCTTTTAGGTCGTTGGCTTTGGGATATTACAGCAGATGCAAATCTTACAACCACAGAAACTAAAAAACATGACAAATATATGTTGAATCTCCCCTCCATCCTAAAAAAAAAAAAAAAAAGAAAAAAAAAAAGGCAAACAGTAAGGACACTTCTCTAAAAAGAGCCGAACCCTTTTATGAGACCTGTTGCCAATATCAGTGCCACCGAATGATCTCATCTTTCATTCTGGCTAAATTCCAACACACAATTTCATTAACCCAGGTACTGCAGGTGATAAAACTCATTTTTCCCTAAAGAGACAGCTAAAAAGTACCAGTTATACATTTATGAAGTACCAGCAATCAAAATTATGGATTTTCTAAAAGGTTTTTAACTACTTTTATTGAAAGGAAAATCGCTGTCTCAGACTTTTGTGACACTATTGCTAATAATAAATTTTACCATTTAGACATAGCAGTAATACGGTAGACAGTGTCAATAAAAGAATGAAACAAAGATGATCCTTGTCTCTTAAGTAATGCTTTCTGATTACACACCGGAAATTATAAGGTGAAGCACAAACGAAGAGCACCTTAAGATATGAAACGCAGCGCTGCAAGGCAACGTGCCTCTGTGTGTGTGTGCACCGTGTGCCTAAACGTGCCACTGCGGGCAGCAGAGCTTCTCCAGTCACACCAGTGTGAACCAGGAGGGTGAAAACATTCGTGCCCGCACGCGGAGTGGATGCCACACCAGTCGGAGCAGGGCTGTCCGCAGGCACTCCTTGGGCTCCTTTTTGGAAAGCCTTCCTCCCGACATGCCAGGTGTCACTAGAGGGCACTGTGGGATTTGGGCCACCCGGCCTCCTCCTGCAGCGCCTGGAGAGGTCCTGAACTTCCGCACAATGTCAGAAAGGTTAATAAGGATGTTGTAAAAGAAACTGTAGCACCGAAATCCCAACAGCAGCTCGGAATAGGTGACGGTCTGGGAACTGGAAGGGCCGCGTTCTTCCCCGTGCGCGCCGCGGGCAGCACGGCCCCGCTGCCCCCACGTTGGCTGGGAGGATGGAGGTTGGGGTGGAGGCTGGGGTCTGGATGTCAGGGTCCAGGAAGGCCGCCCCACTCCCCAGCCCACCTCGAGGTCTGCGAGATGAACTCGCTGCAGCACATTCTGACACGCCAATGACAGAGCAATTAATGCCTTTGAAACAATTTATGATTTCCGGCCTACTTCAACATGTATTAGCATATACCTGGTTTCTTTAATATACACTTTGTTTTTCCAAAACCACAAACATAGTTGCTGGAATTTCATGTGGAAGTGCTTAAGGGGTTGAAAGTTAACACCTTTGTGAGCTGAGCAGTCTCACAGTTGCTGCTAAACAAAAGCCTCTTTGTAGAAGCTTTCTCGAAATGTTTTCTTAACATGTTCCAAGTAGTTTTAGGCAGGCAACTAAAGTAAACAAGATGTTACCATGATAAAAACACTTGTGAAAACATTAGGGAGTGCACTTAGTAGTTTCTTTCACATAAACTCTCCTCGGTTTCATCAGTTAAATGCGCACGAAGCAGACTGCCAGCATCACTGCGCTACGGATTGCAGGATCTCTCCAAAGGTCTGCATCTCTCATTTAAGGAGTATATTTGATTTTAACATGGTGCTGCCATGATTAAACACATCTAAACCGCAATCAAATAACAGCAACAAAAAGATAAAAGGGAAAATAAAACCATATTCCATCTCCTCCTTCCATTTCTGCACTGGATGCCTAGATACCTCTCTGAACAAACCACCCTCCTTCCAGCAGTGATTTCCTAAACAACTTGACATACAGGGGCATACTTCTCTCTGCAATGGCCTTTAAAGACATGCAAATGAAATCAAAGATAGTCAGTTCCGAAGGACAGTCACTCTGTGCTACTAATTGCTTCTTTCGCTGCCAACTGAGACGTGGGTGCTGGTTCAGGCACAAGACACGTGTGCCCCCTCCAGCCCCCACCCTGCTCCCCACGGCTTGGCAGAAGGCCACCAGGTCACAGCGGTGCCCCTGGCCGTGTTTGTGTTTTTAGGCTCGGGCAGCACTGGGGACCGTGCGGGGTGCTCCTGTTTCATTAGGCTTAGCAGCTGCCCCCGCTGCTATCAGTTAGCTCTAACTGATGCCACATCACATGATAAACCAGTGGCTGACAGATTAAAAAACAACGCTAAAACTGCAACTTATTTCTAGAAGAAACAGGGAAATAAATGCATACAATAGCTCGAGTATCTGCTGGTTCTGATAAGCATCCTCCTGTTGGCTGTGAGTGAAAGACAACTAGGATCGTTATTTGTACAGTATTTATCTTTGAAATCAAGGGCCCTGTGGTGTACCTCACCTTGGGAACAAACACTACAGAATGATCACAGAAGAGTGTCAAATCTCTGTTTTTGATTTACCAACAGTTATGATATTTCTTCCTCAGGAGGAAAAGAAATGAACCATGTTTTAGACCTGTGAGTCCTTTTTTCTCCTTTAACTGTAGAATCATTTTATTGGCATACAAGGCTCTTGTTCCACATGTAGCTTCTCTTTGCTTTTTCTAACAGGCCTTTTTACCAAGGTAAGTGAAATTAAGCAATGCTGAATGGATACACTGGCTGCATTTCACTTGTAAACAAGAGCTTTTCTCTTGAGGGGCCCATCAAAAGTGCCTTGTGGATTGCACGAGTATTAGAAAGAAACTTCAAGCATCTACCTGTTACCTTCTCACAGAGTAATGAATTTTGTTAAATGTCAACAGTGTAAGGATGGATGCTCCACAGGAGACTTGGAAGGTTACAGTAACATTTCACAAAGAAATGCTCACTTCCTAACAGTGTCAATCTGCTCTTCCAGGACATTTGTTTCTGCATCCGTTCAGGGTTAAGCATTACTCTGAACAGTAGGGCTTTGGACACTGAAGAATTTGGATAATGAGAAAACAAGTGTGAGCCAGCAGGCTTAAGAAAGACAAACTTCTGCTAGAAGGTCTGATGGGGAAAAAAGATCACTGCCATGAGAATCTGAGTGATAACCAAAATTATTGGAGCCGTGAGCAGCCAGAGCCGCTTCCTGCTGATAACAGGTTTAAGTCCAGCCTGATCTGTAATGGCTTTCAGGCTACTTTCCCCTACTGATGGCTCCCCACACCTCCCTCACATGGACTGGTGGTCTGGGTCTACCAGAACTTCTGCAGAATACCATCTAAACCAATACTGTCTCCACTCACACCATGTGACTCAACCAACTGCTCTATTTTCTACACATGGTCACAGCAAGCTGTGCACTGCTTTGCAACAAACCTTCCTAGAACCAGGAGATCTGCTCTACAACAGAGGACTACCACAACAAGCAAAGGTGGCACGATCTGACCTTACTCAACTACACAGACTGCTCCAGTATCTAAGGCTACCACAGCACCTTTCCCTTGCATTAACTGCAATAAAAAATAGAATTGTTTTAAAGGTCTAAACGGTATGGTATGGCATATGAATATGAATGAGCTGGCAAGTATGGAGAGATTAGCATTTATTTCACTTAAGTGAACAACAGGATGAATTAAAAGAAATGAGGCAGGCCACCCTTCATGGAAATTTACGACTAGTACCTTCTTATTTTGTAATCCTCTTGTAATGAGAACCTTTTCATTACTGTACCATTCCTGGCTTGTAACATAGGTTTATACTAAGACTAGCACCTACTGAATTCAGGAAGGTTTCACCAATGGAAGCAGAACACACTGCTGAGAGCAAAAACCTACCTGTACCTCACACCTAACGTTCTCTGCTGGCTACTTGTTCTCACATGAAAACCTAGGAACTGCCGCAGAAAGAAAAGATACAGCTGAATGTTTTGGGACCAATTCTACCTATCTACCCTGATGAATTCCACAGACTTATGTGGACTAACTTCATGAGATCACCACTGTAAATGGGAGAATTTACCCCTTTGTGCATTTAAATCACAGTCACGTTTGAGATCCAGCAACTGGATCCAGCCATCACCATTTCAAAGAGATCAGTGCGCAAACATTCAAGAACCTGAACCACCAGAAGCACGTGTGTACCTGGTGATCTACCCAGACAGAAAACTCTTTTGTAGTAGGAACAGCTCAGAAGGGTGAGGCTGATGATTAAGCTGTGAAGCAGCCATGTGTAAGTTATTAGAGCTCTGTTGGTCCTTCCCTGCATTGGGATGCACACATTACCACGTACTAGGCCATAATGCACTGTTTATGCAACGTGTAAAACTGTGTTCTTTGGCAGCAAGGAAAGGTCTGCAGCAAACTGCAGGGGCCCAATTAATATAATTATAGTTTATTTTTAGTTGTGTAGACTTTGTTCATCAGTTACTTATTTGAAATAAATTAAATTTCACGTGATGCTCTGCAATTCTGTCCAATTATGGACTTAATTTAAGACTAAATTTCTAAATTAAACCGAAATCAAGGTTAGATCAAGGTTGCATTGTTTACATTCTCAGTACTGCAACTTAAAAATTAACTAAATAAAAAAAAAACCAACCAACTGCAGAATCACGAACAATCTGTTTTATAGTAATACACTGAGCAAGACCATACTTTCCCCATGGGGCTAATTCACTATCCCCTGTTAAAACGTTCTTGAGCCTGATCCAAAAGCCACTGAAGTGAAAGGGAGCTCTCAGTTGACTTCAATGGGCTTTGCATCAGGCCCGTGGTGAGTGACAGCACACAACATTTCAAGGCATGCTTTCTGTACAATGCAAGTGCCAAAAATCCATTCTTACTTTAGAAACGACTGGAAGTCTTCACATACTGCTTCACAGCCTGGCCATTTGCATACGCCGTGTCCATAGAGCGGATGGCTGTGCGAGTGCTCCTCGTGGGATAAACTGGAGGGGAGAAAGAAAAAAGAGAAAAAGTGTTGTAGCTGAAGGTACTGCACCAATTATTCTTCACAAAGAGTAGAACAACAGATCCTGAAACACCTCTAACATCTCATGGTACCCACCTGACTCTGCACATAGGTTTTCAAAACAGAATTAAATACCATTTGCAGAGTGAAACGTGTCATTCTTACTTAGCTATCCTCCTACATTTCATTCATTAATTAAAAGCTTTGTAAAGAATTTAAATTAACATGGACGGGGGAGAAATCATTTGACAGACCTGCTTAATATCCTGCTTGATATTTTGCTGAGAAATGTATGAATATTGCATATTTACAATTCAATTTAATTGGGAAGAGAAGTCGTCTCCATACAGCGGTGTGTTCTCAGAACACAGTACAACTGGGCCCAAGGTGTATCACCCCACTACAGACAGGAGAAGCACCAAGCTTTGGCTTTCCCACCACATTATCTATTTACTGTGCCAGGTTTTTTTTTGTTGTTGCTCCTTGCTTTTTTTTCAGTTCCATTTTTCTCCTCTTGCAGGCTGTTTCTTTGCACAAGCACAGGCTTCCTATATCCCTGCAAAATATATTCACCAACGTTTTCAAATGTAAAATTCATCATAAAAAAGGAACCGTGTAATCAAAGGATTCCTCAGCACGAGGGGTTAGTGGGGGCTGTTAACCTTGCTAAGATTTGGCAGGAACGTCGCTGAGCTTTCTGACTACTGAAACCAGGGTTAAAGAAAAAATTCGTATGAACACTAAGGGGTTAATCCTTCAGCGGGATTCCAATCAATACGTAATGATTTGGCTGCACTGATCCAAGTCATGAGACGCTTTGATCCAGGCCATGTGGTGCTCAGGGAAATGTATCTGTTACACTAACTGATGAACCATATTCTAAAATATCTTCTTTATTCAACTTCTGCACGGAAACTTCTTAAGTAAAGGAATTATTTTTGCAACATCTTCCATAACCTTAGATGACTTTTAAACATAAAATGTCAAAATAATATTGAAATCTCTATTTTACGCTTATGCACGTATCTATTTTCCACAGCAAATCTTTCTGCAACAGTATGTCTGTGCCATATTATGAACTTCAAACATACACAAAGGATATGAACACATACCAGGCATCTAGGTGTGGCTTTTACGACTTATTTTATCCCAGATTACAGGTAACGTTATGGATAAACACCTACTTTCTGCCATTTTATGTTTATACACATGTGGAAATGCCGTTTATTCTTTTTCCACAGCATTATCTGCCTGCACACAACATTTTGCTCTTGTATTGTTTCTTATGCACTGGACAGAGCGCTGTAGAGCACACCCAACGTGTTAACTCAAATGCAAGAAAGTTCCCTGTGAAATTCCTGCTGGATTCTCTTTGGGCCCAACAGCAATCTGGAGATAATGGAAAGATTAAAAAAAAAATTAATTCCTCTACAAGAAAAAAGGTACAGATCAGACTGGAAGAGGTATTACGAGATGTACTTGAAACGAATTCATTATTTCATTAAAATCTTATTTCTGACAGTTTCCAAATAGTTTTTCAAGCATAAATAAATGCATCAGCTAGCTAATTTCCTAAAGAAACACTGTAGGTGGAAAGCCTCACAAAGACTTTCTCCAAAAGGGAGTATTTCACTGGTTCAACTTAATCAGTTTTTAAAACACGCGAGTGGGGAGAGGCTCTATCTGTTGAGTTTTTAAAAAGAACAAAGGGAGCGATGCATTCCTTGCAAGTAAATGAGAAAAGTACTTCAGCACATGCCCTCGGTTGGAAGAGGAGGAGGATGGCTGAAGGAACACTGTCCACTCCAGTCAGACAGGCACGTGGTCAAATGCCCTCCACGCACTTTGGAGGGGAATAATTCAGAAAATAATGCTTTTTTGTCATCTGCTTCTATCTCTGAACAAAGCGAAGTGTGAGGAAGTAGGCTTTCATGTTAACACTCCATTAAAGACTATATATGAGAGCTATGATTTCAGTCTGTTTGGCAGAACCCAAAAAACGTTAGTGCATTAGGTTACGCAGCCGGCGTTACCCCTGCACCGCGATGAGCGCAGAAATGCTGTGTGACACCAAGTAAGGAGTCGGTCTCCTGTGGGGTTTAAGCACTGTAAATCTCATTATAATATCAACAGCAGTCACATGGCTTAAACCCCCAGCAGGGTTTTTAAAAGTTTCTCCACAAGAGCCTGAAGGCCATGGCCAAGTCAACGGAAAGAGTCCTACCGAGATTAGTATTTATTTTTTAAATCCGAGTGCAAATCTCTTTTCTTTCCAGGGATCTTGCACAAGACAAGACAAACTATGCAGGACATGATACCCTGGTATTGTGTCCAAAGAAAATGACTGAATGACCAAGAGAGTATCAACTGTACGCTGTGCTCAGCATGGTGAAGCCTAGTGCTGTCAATAACCAGGAAGATTGGTGCTGGCTGTAAACAGGAACTTAAAGGTCATTTTGCTAACAGGACATTGAGCATAACACACTTAACACCTACGTACAGCTCCCACTGCCATGCAAGGGAGCAGAGCAACTACTTAAACTCACCAAAAACTGACACTTGAATAAGGATTAAAAAAAAAAAACAAAACCCTCTTGGTATTTAAAGAAAAATGCAGGCATCCTCAGTGGGCAACACCTCTCTGAAGCTGCTTACCGCAATCCCACTCAGGCTTTTCAGTCGTGCGTTCTGGTGACCTTTATGTGTCACTATCAGATTACTGCTATTTTATCCATCTCACTTCTGGAGATGTTATGGATTGCCACTTGTTCGCTGGTAGAGCCTTAAGAAGCACCTCAAAACAAAACAAAGGGCGGTTCATGCCGGAGCGGATATAGTGCACAAAGGATGCACAGCCAGTGGAAATCAATGGGGAACTCTGTTTTCCTTTAACTGATCTAAGTACTCCATGTTTGAGCAAACAGAGGTGGAAAATGAAGATTTTAATCCAAAAGATAAACAAACGGTTCTCTTGGCACAATACAAACACATATTTTTTAATTGTTTGATGATGTTGTGTCTGGTCTGCATGGAAGCACAGTTTCTATGATCTGGATGCATCCTTGGTCTCACTGCAGAGACAGACTTTCAGAGGAGCTGAGCACTGGCAAGCAGAAGCAAGTTTTGGTCTGATTTCTAATGACACACAGTGGAGTAGGTCTCTGTTTTAGGTCTCTGTTTCTATCACCCTCTCCTTCCCAAAAACCCACATCCCTGCTTGGATGCTGGTGATGCAACGCTTCACAGTGGAAGCAATTTTGTAACAATACAATGAAGGAACAAATGATGTACAATCCAGAATACGTCCTTTTCATCCTCCTTGCTATTAGCACACAAAATTCTTAACATACAATAGAATTAATTCCAAATAATGCAATAGTGCAGCGTTATTACATCAAAGCACAACAAAAATGCCTCTGGCAAGTAAAATTTCTTGCGTAAGTCAGCCTATTCATGACATACAACAAAGTAATGAAATCCATGTGGGAAGCTGCAAACTACGTAGGGTCCACCTAATTCCCACCTAATTCTCGCTGCCTACAGCTTGCTGTGGGGCTACATGGGGCAGGCTGGGCCAAGGGCCACGCACCTCCCAGTGCCTCCACCTTCTGCACAGGGGAGAGATCTGTGCCTCTGCCTTCACCACTGCATGCTGCTCCCTAAGCTCAGGGACCTCCAGATGGTTTAATTTAGCCCACACTTACCAACCAGGTGAAACTGGGTACTGTGCTTGTAAACACTGGCAAAGAAGCCGTGGTTGGATGTAAAAACCAAGCAAGCAGAAGCCTCGGCAATAATACTTCTGCCACACAGTGGACCATGTTTTAAATATTCATGATGCTGACACAGTTCATATTCCACTGTCTCTCTTCCATGTCTGCTTGGGCCAATGATCTTTGCCAAAATGCTGGGGGAAGTCAGAGATGTAGAGAAGCATCCTTGATTTTCTGTTACAGTTATGAAGCATCTGCTCACGTTTTATCAGTGCAGAGAACATGCCTGAGCCACCTGCACACTGAAAAAAATCAATACCACATCTCCTGCTTTCCTCTTGGAAGAGGGTCTGAGCAGAGCACTCACAGAACTGCCTTTTTTTAATTATTATTTTTATTTTGTAGGGGCAACGGGAAGTGACCTCATCTTTGCCAGGTGCCGTGAAAGCTCTGGGTGGGAGCGTGGGCTCAGCACAACACCCCGACCCCAGTCCTGTATGGGAACATCCCAACCCCATCCCACAGCAGAGGAGGTGAGGCACAGCCCGAACCGAGGTCTGCAGTGCTCATGGTGCCTGGGGAGCTCCAACCCTCACCACAAGGCACAGAAGGAATAATGCTGGTGGAAATGCCAAGATCCTCTGAGTCAGACATGCTTGCTGCATTTAAAATCTAAATGGAAACAGTAATGATTAAATTCTTGTACCAAGTGACTCCTAAGTCACCACCAACAAGCTAACAGCCATTCTCGAACGCATGTTCCTCTCTTCAAGACAGGATCACCTGAATAAAGATGTGTTTTGCAGTAAAGCTGCACTTGTGCAAACCCTTCTGAATTCATACCAGGGTGGCTTGGCACCCCTTTCCTCCCTAATCCATGAGCCAAATAAAATAAAATATAAAAAGGTAAAAAAATACATCAAGGAGAGTATTAAGTCACACACTCGGCTGGGTTACTTCTAAATATTCATGCTTCCATCCCAGCGACAGCATCAGCCAGATGCAGGTATTTGATCTGAAGAGAGAACTGCCTGAGCAGGGGAAATGCCTTGCCACTGCAGGATGAAGCTCAGCAGAGAGCTGAGGGCTCTCAGAGAGGTGGCAGTTGATGTGCATGGCCAATGGCAGCTTTCCTACAACTGGCTTGCACGTTTCTGGTTGCTTTTAAAGGTTTTTTTCCCTTTTCTCATTGCTTTAGTCCACATCCAGATCGAGGGCTGGAAGCAGCTCGTATTTTACATCAAGCTCTATTGGAAGTAACAGG